TGCGGGCTTTGAACAGAGGAATCTTTGAACAGGATTAACACGCCTTTCAAGCTTTTAATCTTTTGATCTATGCAAATATCCCAAAGCGTGTCCGACTTGTTTACGGTCTGTTTCTTCCGCGAGTGAATCCTGTCGAACGAGTAATAGACGAGGCCTTTACGTTTTTTTTTCTCAGACTTGTTGCCAAATCTCAATTGGTGACTACCTCGTATTCGAGGGTCAAGTCCGAGATGGTATACTCGGCGGCAGTATCTGTACTTTTAATCACTTTGCCATGATCGTTAAAAGTCAATTGATAGGTTAGAGGTTCTTTAAAATCCGACGGGTAAAAGGGTCCGTGATCGGTCAATAGAGGCACGACCAAAGGAATTGCGTAACGATTTTTTATACGCGTCTGCAATGGCTTTATCTTTACCTTCGTTTAGGGCTGCGCAACCGTCGGCTGCGCCCAAACGTAGTTCTGCCACGTTTTCCCTTTCTAGGCCAAGGTAAGCAATATTTTTAGTCTGTGTTAGGGGTAGCCAATTATCATAAAGTTGTGAAATGTGTCTGCGTCGCGATAACTGACAATTTTATTGCCCTGTAAACGTACGTTCAACTCTGAGACTAAATTCCTTTCCAAGCTAATATACACGGCTCGATTATCGTCGGATGCCCCGTCCAAGTCCAACTTGAAAGCTAATTTCGCGGTACCAGGGACTACAACGATTGTTTTCGGATTATGTGACATTGTAACTTTGCGTCTCTCGCCCTTAATGGCTCGTTCGATTTTTTCGTGTATTGCTGTGATATTTTTCTTATTATATAGTTTTATAATTGAGGGTTTTTAAAAATTTTAAAACTAGGTAAAAATCTTAAACACGAAAATGCAATCAGTGATAAACCGGCCGCAAAGAAAATGTCTTCGTATTTGTACAATAAATCGCGCTTGTGAAGTGTTTCGTGTCTCATTTCTGCTAGTACCTCTTGAATCTCTAAAAGCATGTCTCTTTAGTGATCCACATCGGCTCCCATGTCGCGCAACATACCCTCGATGTTGTTTTGTCTGATTGGCTTGGACTTCTGCCAACTGGTCTTTAATTTCTCGATCCATATTTAAAAATGGCAAGCGCTAGGAGGTATAGAGGAGCTATAGTTAATGCATTGGCGTTTACTGGCACAATTTTTTTATTTAGCAGCCTATCTAAAAATAGAGTAGACGAGGAACGTAAACGACACGATTTAGCCTTAGAACAATTGTTGCAAGCGAAACAAGACTGGGAAAAAATTGTGCGCATATGCTAGACTTTTTAAACGAGCGAATGAGGCAGGAACGCGCCGTCAACAGACATTTGTCAACGTCGGCGAAGCTTTACGCGTCTTCGCCGAATTGACAGGTAAAGAGGTCACGCCCTTGCCGCCAGAGCCCAAGTTGTCCGATTTCTATGTGCCTTCTGAAAAGAATTAATATGGATCTTGGGAGGAACTGCCCTAGTCAGATTGTTAGCCTACCGATTTGCTTAAGTCGAGTTTTTAACAACTTTATTTTAAATGGACAAAGAATCTTCAAAACTGTTTTACAGCCCCCAAGGTTACTGGAAAGGTGAAAGCGCTGTCGACCACTTGCATCAAAAGACAGGAGCAGACAAGTCTGTTTTTAGTAACTGGCAAAAAAAAAATCTGGTAAATTTATCTGGCCGCCCCAAATTACGTGCCCAGGCCGACAATGCTGCAATCGGAATATGTAATCCGAAATCAGGCGCACCAATTGGATATATTATTCTTGCCCTGGGATGACAATAAAACGGGCGAACAAACGTCGGGGGCCGTTAAACAGATTTACAAAAGATCGCCTTTGACTTGGCCTAAATTTGTCATGGTGGATGCGGGATCAGAATTTAAAGGCGAATTTAAAAAGTTAGTGACCAAACACGACGTCAAAATTCAAGCGGATGAACCAGGCGTCCATCGGTTACAGGGAATAGTCAAACGTTTTAACAGAACTTTGGCCGAGCGTTTATTTGCTCATCAATTTGCGCAAGAAATGTTAAACGTAGTTGAACGTAACGTGGAATGGGTTGCAAGATTGCCCCAAGTAATAAAATCACGAAGAAAAGATGCGGTTCATTGACAAAGAGCCTGCTAACGCTGTCAAGTTACCGAGTGAAACAAGCACCAAGCGCGCCTCCTAGGGAAACCAGAAAAGAATTGCCTTCGGGCATTTTGGTCAGGTTTTTATATTATCCCGGTGAGCAAGAAGGTGGTACGGTTAAAAGGGCAACCGATCCCTTATGGTCCGTGGACGTGTATCCAGTGGAAAAGCGCACCAGTCAATTTAAACGGGTCAATGGCAAGAGGGTTAAACGGGGCCTACTTTCTATTATTTACTCGACGGGCCAAAGTGGAGTTTTGTTAGAGAAGAGCTTCAAGTGGTTCCGGGAGACACAGAATTGCCGCCTTCTTGAATAGTTCTACAATGCCCGTAGGCTAACGTATCCACCCCGTTTAATAATATACCGTTTCGTGTCCAACGGCGAAAGACTTAACTTATTTTGCGAGACGGTGAACAACAGATGCTTGTCCGATTTTAAAAGCTGTTGTTTATTAAAATGCTGCGTTTTTTCAAGAAGAGTGTTTTTGTAAGCCTCGTGTGACAACCTTTTAGGAGTCACTACTTTTGTAACTCCTTTAGCCTTTGTCAAATTTTGGTACTCTGTTAAAATGGAATATACCTTTGGACGTATGCAAACGGCTTCCGAAATCACTTGACCGCCAAATTTCGTCCTTCATCTTGCCAATGACTTTTTAATTTTTGGATCGTAAAGTGAGTGATCGGGCTGGGTAATTGCTCATATCAAATAATTTACGCTTTTGTGTAAATGTGTACAAAAGACAGGCGTTCGAGCCAAAGTATACTTTTAACTCGTTGTAATAGAAGTCGTAAAGTAAAGTTTTGGACAGGTCGAGCACGCTCACGCCGCAGTAAAAGGGCTTATTCATTTCGACAAATGATAGATTGCACTCTTTGAACGGATTAATCGTTTTATAATGCGGTTTAAAAGTTAATTTCTTATACTTGGAGGCGTCTTGAAAATCTCTCGGTAATGCCCGTTTATTCGATAACGCACATTTTCCATCGTTTTACCAATGACGAAATTATTCATCAATTTGAAAAAGTCTTTCTCGAAATCGGACTTGGCCAATTTACGCAAATCTGTACTTTTCTCGATGTAACCTTTCATTCACGTTGCCTGTTAAAAAAGACATTACTCGGTAAACTTCTTTTGAATGTAAACAGAGTTCCAGATTGTTTGTAACGTGTGATAGTGAACCACGTATTTATGTTAGGTGCCCAAAGTGGACACTCGTTTGTCTATAGAAGTAACCCTTCCTCCGCTCGATAGCAAGTCTTTTTGATAGTCGGAGAGCCATTCGTTTGGCACTAATAAATTTTCAGGTGCCAGTGGGAAATTGTTGTGTTTATTGTTTAAATGTATTGGGTATTCTAAAGTTAATTCGAACATATAGCCTTTTGAAGCTTTCGGTAAACTTTTGCGATATACCCGTGGGTAAATTTGGTCGTGTCTTGAACTCACCGAAAATTTCTGACGGGTAACGATTGACTCATGGTCCATCCAACAAATTATTTGCGTCCAAATACATGATGTAAGACTTTGGCTTATTGAGATCGTAATCTTTTAAATCTGGATTATTAGCTTTGAAAAATCGTTTTGCCCCAACGCTCGAGATGCCGCCTCTTTTTTCTCTCCGAAAAATAGATGCTTGTCAATGTTTGTCAAAAGCTCAAATTCCATGCCAGAGTGTTTTAAAAGCGCGTCCCACGATAGACCATGCGACGTGTAATAATTGGTGATTCTTACACACGTTACGAAAGTTTTCAAATACGCCTGCTAAAGTAAATCATCCGTCTTGACGTAGAGTTTGTGGTAGTCTCCGAGATTTTGACAGTCGAAAGTTTGCCTTACGTTTTGGGCTCTTGTATATTCTTCTTTTGTAATGGACTGCTGCTTCAAAGTGCTGTAAAATGAGTTTGGAGGAGGGAGTTGGGTTTCTTCGAATCCATCGTTGAATCTATGTATTCGTAAGAGTAGATTCCCTTTTTTAAAAGCGATCCATGTTATTTGGGACCTTTAGCGGGGCAGGTTAAAATCTTCCAGGGAACAGTTTTTGGAAAATAGATCGAGCGAAGCAGCCTTGAAATGAAACGAGTCTGGGAACCTGAGTTGGTCAAAACGAAATGTATTTTTCAGTGTTTTTGGCAATGACGTTAATTTTACTACCGTCGAGCGTTTGAGCCCCATGCATAATTAGACAAGCGTCGTATTTCTTCAAGTTACGTAAAATTTGGGACTACTGTGAGTTTTAAATTACAGTGAGCGTACGCCAGGCCTCGATATTTGCCCGTTACGTTACAGTGATCTCTAACTTTGCGACATTTATTGATGGGCTTTTCGCAAGTCACACAAATTTAGTAGTAACTAAAGGCGACTCTTTTAGTTTTTTGGCTCGTCGGTAGTTGAGCATCGACACTGTGATTCTTTGGTTTTGCCGATGGGCCTTTTGCAGATCCAGCAGTCGTTGGATTTGTCGTGGAGTTTCTGCAACTCGCACAACCAGGCGAGAGGCTTTGGATCGGCAAATGTTTCGTTGATCGTGGCGACTTCTCTAGACGATTCTACAAATTGAACGGCCGCGTCTTGGCCTCTGTACGTTTTGCGACTGGTACACACACCGTCGCATCTAACGACTGCATATGAATAGCCGAAAGGCTTGTGGATTTGTGTTTTGACCGTGTTTAACGGTTTTGGCGAAAGACGCTTTAAAACATATTGGAAAACTGAGTAGAATGGAGCATCTTGTTTATTCTTGTAATTTTCAAACTTGAGAACATTTTGGCCCTTTATTTATTTTATTTTATGGGTTAACATTGTAAAAGAAAAAATTAAAATAAAGTTAATTGAAACCCAAAGACACAATTTCAATTTTTTGTTTATCTTGCAGTTTGATCAACTGTGGACTAGAAATTTTGGAATTCCCTCGACAGCCATGGCAGGTAAGACTTACTAGTATTGTCACCATTAAAAGACTTGCCTGCAAATCTATGAAGCAACACTGGAAAGGGGAAAATGTGTTTCTGTAGATCTAATGCAATGTAATCAACCTAGATTGAATTATCTTATGTGGACGCACGTGCCAGTGTAAGTGGGAGACTTTAAGTTGAATCTCTCTCCCGGTTATACATATCTTTAAATCTTTGCTCCCCACCGATAACGGCCTGTGATCAGTTAACAATTTGTATCTTTAAAACAAATTGTTAAATACTTTCCCCGTAGAGTGTCCCTTAGGAAACGAGGAACAGCCAGCGGCAGCAAATTCCCCTCATCCAGACGACGAAGTTGTACACGAGGAAATTGCTTCTAGCTCAAGCCAGGCACCGATCAATTTACACCGATGTACCATGTTTTTGGGTCAATATACTTCAAACATCAGTGTCAACTACGGTAATGTTGATAAAAACAACATACTGAGAATCTTCAATTATTTAAGATAATCAAAATTAACAAACGCTCCCATCGACCCCAAGAACAAACTAAATAAAATCTATGATGTTTCGATGACGCAAGCTATGACCGATTTGCTTTTCAAACTTAATTAGACATATTCACTGCCCACACAACTAATCTCAGATCTAGTATTCCTGGACCATTTGCCGTGTCCTATACCTAAAAGTCGTTTTGCCTCATTTTGATTTTCATTCTAATGTTAATTTTTTATGAAAAGGTGCTGCTTTTCAATTTGGTTGATATTTTATGTTTTTAAAATTTCCACAAAAGACTTAACACTTACCTGGTACACTTTGAACAGAAAGGTCTTCAACCACTGCCACTCCACGTGTGCCATCGGCTGAGACACCACATGATTACAAACGAGATTATGGTCGGGCTGTGAAGGAAACGAAATTTGATTATCGAGGTACGCTCAAAATCTATCAGTGTCAAGTGTGCTTAAAATCTTTTCACTTGATGTATTTCTGTTCAGTCAATATTCCAATTAGTCTAGAGCCCGTCACGTGGTCGGTTTAAAATGGCTGAAAAACCACCGGCTAGCTAATTCCGTCTGTGCCACCTCGCGCACTACGCACCACTTCAACGCCAACCTCCATATGCAATACCGAGGTGAATACGTCACGCCAACAATCATGTATGTAAAAGACATTATTGGTTGAACTAGCGCGTGAACTAACGCGTGCATATTCAATGGTTTGCACTTCCTGGTTCCAAATGACGTCAAACTCTGGTACTCTATAAGGAGATTGGAATACGACTACTTGCGACACGTACTTACCAAAAATGGCTACAGGGGTGTTTTTAAAGAAAGTAATCTGTTTATCGAAACCGTAGGAATGTGGTAATTTGTAAACTTTTTGAAGAAAACGGATTCACAATGGGAATAAATCTGTGCTAGGCAAGTGTAATCACATGTTTATTCCCTGACTGAAAATCATATACAGGGTGTCTCGAATAGAGATCTCACAAAGGCAAAATATGACTACTGATGCCTTCAAACATTGTTAATATGCACGAATGGAAAAGGGTACATGTTGAAAATGACGTGTTAAATCGTCTGCGGTCAACTCCTTCAATTAAGTGCAAGTATTGTCTTCTTGCATGGGGGGGGGACTTTTTCGAGGATATCCAGTATTTGCTTTATGAAGAGGCCGGTGGCTTGAAAAGAATAGTCTGGAAACGTCAGTATTAATGGATGGTTCAGCTAAAACTATGCAATCAATGTTTCGAAGAGCCAAGAGAAAAGAAACCTCGTGGGTAACACAAATTACATTCAGGGTGTGATAAAAAATGTACAAGAGGTCATGTGGATAGCTAGGTCATATTTTGACTTCAAATGTCCATCCCATTAGCTCTCCTCCAAGATTCTGGTGTGTTATCTTGTGGCGAAGGTCTTTTCAACGAATCAGCTATGGGAAATACAACAAGAGTCCAAGAATTCATTGCCAGAGATCCTGAATCGGTATGAAATATTTGACAAGGGATTGACCAGATTTAAATAATAACATGAGTGTTTTTCTTCAGTCAAAGACACAAATTTATGACCCTTTCATGGTTAAACTTTCACACTCACACTTTCAATAGAAGAATGATTCTAAATTTTCAATCTCAGATCGGAAACGACGTGCCGTTTAGCGAAAGCGTCACCCAAGTACCATTGTCAATCTTGTGTCGAAAATGGGACTTTCTTTTTTCTGATACAAAAACAACCAAAACATTTTTGGGGAATTATTGGGGAATTGAACAATGTGATACAGTTTATTGGATATTTTCGAATGTTTGTATTGGAGTTTTTAAACCAAAATAAGTACATGATAATAAAAATGTATGACCTCTCGGTTTATAGTCAAACCAGATTCAAAAAGCAGTTTAAATCGCAAATAAGTGGGTAATAGTGAACTTTTATGAAATTGCCAAGAACCCAACTAATGCTGGATAGTTCTTGAACATTCTAACTTTCGACACCCTGCCCTACTTTCGACCGATGTAGGGCAGAATACTTTTACAAATTACCTCTTTTGTTTAGAGGGCAAACTGAATACGTTAATGGGAAAGCTCACTCAGCACTCTAAATTTCATAAAAATTTGATGTCATAAACCCGCAGTTGCTCAAATTGTGCATTTTGTAGGTCATGTACCAGAACAAGCGAGGGAACACGCCACTGCATGCAGCCGCTTTTGGTGGTCACATGGATACCGTCATTACCTTGGTTTCAAATAAAGCCCAATTGGAAAAAAAGAACAAGGATGGCTATACAGCACTGGTGTCTGCAATATTTGGGTGAGCTTCTAATTGGGTATACGTAAGAAGTGCCAGTGTCGGGCAAGGGGGGGGGGACACTGGCGAGCGGAAGAGTGGGGCGGGTTGCTTTACTTGGCCCTGCACTAGTGTGCTGGGCCAGAGGTGATAATTTAAGGAGGTGGGAGGTACAGACTCTAGTGACATTACAAGAAGAAGGGTATTCTGTTCCTGCATTTATAGTTGTCGGTATTTTTTGCGTGGAGAAGCCTGTACCTGTAAAAGTCATGGTATTAGATATTAGATATAATTTAGATAAGGCAACTTTTCAATAAGTGTACAAATTACATGTCATTGTACGTGTAAAAGTAACAAAATCATTAATTTTTCAAATACATAGCGTGGAGAATAATGACGTGCTTCTTCACGAGTATTGCTTCAACACTATATGTAAACATGCGATATGTTGATGCAGTTTACACTCACTGAAGAAAATTTACGCATCGGGTAAAGTTGTTTCAGCCGAATCGTACACTTTATATGAAACAGCCTCGTCTTTCTATTGATAAAGAGATGAACCAAATGTTGTGAAGTATCTTTTGGAATCCGGAAGTAAATCAAACACCGCAAGCAAGAGAGGCTTAACGCCACTTCACGTAGCTGCTCGTGAGGGTCACGAAAGGTGTGTTAAAGAACTGTTGAGTGTGCCGACACCCAGTGATGTCAACTGCAAGGTAGGTTTAAAAATATATATTAGAATTGTTTAAAAAAGCAAAGGGGATTACTGGGAATATTTTGCATTCCTCAGCTTTGGCTAAGCCGACAAAAGCAAAGGAATTCCCTGAACTCTCCGTTGTTAGTTACAAGATATTAACAAGTTGGTCTTGAAATTTGAAACAAAATTCAAACACTTTGTTACCATTTCAAGAATTAACATAAATATGGAAATTTATAATTTTGCCATTGACACTGGTTTTATGATTAATTCAATGAATTATTTGACTGAGTTTGGGGAAAATGATTACATATTTGGTGAAAGTATTAGACAATTTGTGTTTTCACGAAGCGCGGGTCTGGAGGAAGTAAATTGCACTTATCTTCTTACAAAGTCAGAAAATGTACGAACCACTGTTTAATTACCACTGTTTAATGAAAACAGAGTTTCAACGGCCGAGTATGCATTACTTAGATTTTATAATGTGATGATGGGGAAGCAATGAGATCCTCTCAGTAAATCCACCACTTGTTTGAAAGTAAAAGTGAAAGACCAGACACAACCAAGGGATGTGATGAGGTAGCCATCATTCTTTTAAAGAGTGTTATTTTTCTGTTATCAGGACGGTCGTGGCTATACACCACTGTTTATCGCCATCAAAAAGCACTACATGCCGACAATACGATTGTTGGTGGAACATCAAGGCATCAATCTCGGTCTGAAAGATGCACGTCAGAGGAACTCCTTGCACATCGCGGCTATTTGTGGCAACAATTTGTAGGATTTCATTCATTATGTCCATGTGTCATGTTTTTTGTTTTGGGCAAATATTTATTCCTACGCGTGCATTGCTGCGAATAGGTTCCCGAAACGGAGCACACTAGCATTTTTCCCATACACATTAAGCCCATATGACTGTTAGGGGCAATTGGGATAAAAGTTGGGAACCAGACTCTTTTTGCATAATTCAGATATGCTGAATACAATAAACCCGTTCCCCAAGCGATATTATGAGCTTTAGGTGATCTAATTTGCATAATTAAAATGGCCACCACATTGCCATTTTTTCTTCAATATCTCTTTAACCAGCCGTGCAAACATTGTAAATGGAATTTCTATACCCGTGTTTTGAGGATCAAAGGATAGGACTAAGACATAATTAAGGTACATAATGGGTAATCATTAACATGAATACTAATGATTATGCAAATGAGCTGCCGCCATTAAAGAAAAATTAAACGTCTCTAATATCTTTGGGACAATAATAGCAAAATTGTCCATTAAACTTTCCATGCACATGACGATTGGAGAATTTGATAAGCAAAGGTCAACTGCATGTGAAATAACTACCGGATTATTAATTGAGCCTTAAATGACGTAATGCTAGGTTTACCCCCAGTGTTACCCCTAAAAATCAAAGTGGTGCTTAGCAGGCTCGATAGGAAATCAGTTTCACCCACCAATCCCACGTTCTTGCATAGTTTGACGTAGGACAGCATCTGACTGAAGGAATGTGGATGAAGCTCCCAGATTCCCTCACGCTGAGCCCGAGTAAACTGCTATAATATTAAAACATGTTCATAAAATTCCACCAGAAGGCAAAATTTTCATCATTAGATTTACTAGCTTTGAAATCCTTTGGGAGCTTCTGAAGCCGTTCCTGCTTCGGACATCTTATCAACCCTTGAACTCTTTTGGGATTGTTATCGGTAGCCATTGCAGAAACCTCATCATGACATTCCTTGGCTTATTCTGCAGCAAACCTTAGAAATGTTGGCAACCAAATTTGCCACATGGCTTGTAAGGTATGTTTGTGAGCTCGTATAGCCTTATGGTATGCTTTTCCCGACAGAACAGACTGCTCAGCACCCCCACCAAGCCTTGAAATCTGAAGCCAAACTTCAGCTAAACCAGATCTAGCCATGTGATCTCCTATAGCATTTAGAAAGTTCATCACAGTGTGAAGTCCAACTAGGCGAGGGATTAATCGATGGGGATTAAGCGAGGGATCTAGATATTCTTCCATTGACCAGTTCAGTTCCTGAGTTGGAAGTAAAGTGCTTTGTCCACTGTAAGGACAGTATGCTCCTGGCCAAAATGTTAAGATATTGCTGTGCACCTTTTCACAACTGTGTTGAGTAAATTCAACTCATAAGCCGAGGCAGGAAGTATGGGTAAGTATTCTACTGCAGTCTGCTGTGGTTCTTCTGGTGAGATTGATTGAACATTGTCCTAGAAGTTTCTGTATTAGAATCCTGACGTCGTATAAAGGTACATCTTGCCAAGCTGACGTATTCTACCAGTCTGCCCAGTATCAATGGAGTACTGGGCTCTGTTTAGGGCTGGAGGCTTATCACATTCTTATTATATTTTTAAAATCTTAATCACTTTTTCCAACCGCCAAAGAAACCTATTTTTACAGTCTTGCTTGTTTTGACACGGAGATGTTTGATATTTACGTAATGGTGGCATCTCATTTGCATATTTATAAATGTGTATACCATTAATTACATTACATATGCTACAGGGATACATCAGAAAATGTATGGAATTTGGCTCACATTTTAATTATGTAAATTAGAAATCCAAAAACTCAAAACATTACTTGGTTTTATCAGATCCAATATCCAGTATTTTACATGGGCTTTTTAAGAAATTCCCACCCTAGTCATTTACTAGAACATTCACGGAAAATATGGAATTTCAATACAAATTAGAAACCATCAAAATGAATACGAACTGTTTTGAGTCATACATTTCTGAAATACAGCAAAGCACCTTAGTCATCAGATTTCCAGAATAGACTTCGTAATTGACAAACACCAAGACGTAAGCTGTACCCATCGCGCACCGTATTCATTGATTTTCTTTTTTATGTAGGCCTAATGTTCATGCTTTGCGTTATAATATAGTGGCAGATCTACGGATTTGCAACCACTCTCACTTGCCGCTTATTGATGTAATAAATAATAAGTGAAATTAAAAAAAGTGAAAATACTGTAGAAGGTAAGATTTTACATTTATTTTAAGTTCGTAAGGAACGTTTCTAGAACCCCCACGTTGATACAAACTCTACAATTCTACTGTTACTTCCTCTTTCAGAGTAGTTGGATGGACCTGTGTCATTTTCAGTGTTGCAAACGAGAGACACAAAGTGATAGTGCTATGCAAATCACAACCGTAGGAACACTCGGTCACACCATGGGGGTGGTCACACATACTCTGTATCTCTGTGGAGTTAGAAATGTTCTCATTTAAGGATGCACAAGGTAGTTTGTCTAGGTATCACTGAAGTTGCAATTCTCTTTCTTAATTACAGTGCGGTTGAGCAGATTCTGAAAGCCAAACCCACTTTAATCAATGTCCAAGGAAACGACGGTTTCACCGCTCTACACTTGGCTGCTTCCAAAGGCCACTTGGACATTACGCGGACCCTCCTTCAGCAGGTAAGGGGAAGCGAATAGTTCAGAAACACTGTACTTTGCTTCAACAATCAAAAGAGTACCAAGTGTGACGTCAATTGTACAAGGAAATGTAGTACAAAATGAATTAAGTACGTGCACGTGTTGGTTCACGTGAAGGTTACCGCGCTGATATCTTTACACATGTTTTTCCGCTTGATGTTTTCACTTTAGTACTTTAATCGATCAGCTGAACAAACCATGCGCATTTTATTAATCTATTTTGCTACATATTAATTACCACAGCCTGCTTTCTTCTGCCAGCAATGCAGTGAATATTTTAGTGACACTAAAATTCACTATTCATTGGGTGCGTTCGATTAGCTTACACGTGTAAGTCAAACTTACACGAGAGCGTTCGTTTAGCCATCACGCGATCCTCGTGCCTGCCCTGGCGTCAGCCACTACTACCCCGGCTGGCGAGCGGGTCTCTGGAGGCTGCCTGAGTGTAATGAAGTCACGCATGGACTGTTCGTGCATGGATGTACATGATGGAACGTGGCGGGGAATTGACCTTTTGCCCAGAATGCCTTGGCGAGTACACTGCAGCGTTCGATTACCCTCATTTCGAGGCGTCCCTTGCGTGTAACACTGGTGTATTTTCAGGAAAGCTAATCGAACGCACCCATTGTTTCACTAAGAGGACGCGTTTTTAAGTTTGAGAGTACAAGTAAAGTTCAAGGTACACTGGTTCAGCGCAAACCCAGCCAGAATCGACCATCCCAGCCCCACCACATTCATCCCATCCTAACTTATTTAAACCGGGGTGAAGAGACAATCTCACACGGGACATTTATTCGAAAAACTTTTTCTTTCGGTTTAAGCAAATTTGCTCGACGTATCTTAAAAGTACAAAAGGACACACGGCACTGCATCTTGCTGTTATCGAGAAGCGTTACGAGTGCGCCAAGGCTCTGGTCGACAACGGTGCCGACGTAAACGCCCAGGACGAGGGTGGAAATACCTGTCTCCACTTGGCTATGATGAAAGTTCTCACTGCCAGTGAAGCAATGCTTGAATCTTCAATGAAAGACAAGGTGAGTGTACTTTTGAAGATTACTTTACAAAAACTTTACAAATCTCTATTGAAAAATCTACCATTTCTCAATTTGGCTCTTCAGCAGAAGTGATTAGAATTTTCTTTCCCTATATACTGTAGTTACGACGCACAAGCGTTTGGGCATTGTTTAATCTTATGTTTATATTGTAATAAGCGATCCAGCAAGCCCACTGTGTACGTAGGCACCTAGCAAAGCTGTTCTCCACTACCACCCCGCGTGTATCAGCCGGGTGGATCTGTCTATAGACACTGCTCTAAATAAGGCATTTCAAAACAGGAATCCCTGAAGTCGCTTCGGTAGCTTAATAGGTAGTTATTTGAACTAAAGATCCTATACCATGCAAGATATGGGACGGAGGGGTATCCCCTTACCTGTACAATCCCTATACACACTCTAGACTATTGTTACCTTAATAACCCCCCCCCCCGAAGTCTATAAAGAATTTCTGAGATTCCGATCAAACAATGACCAACACAAAGGCGCGGTGGCGGAGGGGGGGTTCTCTCCCTCCCACATCTCCCTTAAAATCACAGATCCATAGTCCCTGATTCGAATCCGACCCACGTGTGCTATTCAATTTACCAATTTTATCGTGTTTGGGATTTCCTTTTTCAATTGATGAGAAACAGAGTCCAAACGAGAAGGAACTGACTAGATACTAACCCGTGAAACCTTGTCTGCTATTTTTCTCAAGACTTTTAGAGGGTTCATGCTTGGACTCTGTTTCTGCCTCAATTGAAAAAGGAAATCCTTTACTACCAACTACCGAAGCGACTTAATGGATTCCCGTTTTTGAAATGTCGCATTAAAATGGTGTATTGCATTGTCCCCTCTTCATGAATCATTGGTCCCCAGCTACTGAAAAAAAGTAGCGCATCCGGTTTCACGGGCTAGTATTAAGTCGATTCCGCTCTAAATGCTGCTTGCAGAGCCATCACAGATTGCCTTAAGCCAACTAAAGTGGATGGCCTTTACTTACACTGTGGCATTGCCCCTCCGCAAATAAGGAGGCAGGCCCTGACCCAAAAGGAGAAGCTAAAACAAGAAAGTGACCCACTCCTTTATCTCTTCGAGAGCGAACAACCACCCAAAAGACCCAAATCCAGACACAGCTTCCTCCACTCAGCCCAGGTTCTCAACAACAGTCCTCACTCCTAACAAATGACAATCTCCAGTCTGCTTCACACAGAGTGCCCTTTTGGGCTTGCCTCAACCAAGGCTGCAAGGCCCTTACGCACAGATTGGGCCATGAAATCACCTATTAGGAATAGAAATATCTTTATCCCGGGATTAAATGTTAACTTTTCGCGCCATGCTAATACGACAGGCCAATTAAGTTATTGGATATGCTTCGACCGACAACAAAACAGGTTGTGTTTTTAAATGAAATTGACATTCCTTTTGTACAAAGTTGATACGCGTGTGACGCAGGTACGCCGAGTACGCGCAATGAACTTATTGTGGAATGAATGGTCTTCGCGTGCACGTCGAACGCGGGCAAGAGCCCGTTTAGAAAGCTTTGCACCAGTCTGTCTAAACTTCTTTCGCCAATGAGGGTGTGCTTCAACCCAGGCGAATAAAAAGGGCTGCTCTTGAGTGGATTAAGTCCTTTGTATCACATCGCATGCAGGTTGTCACTAACAAAGGAGCCATTTCAAACTGGTTACCTGTTTGCTGTCGCCTGTTTTTCCAGGGGGTAGGGCCCCCGCCCCAAAGAAAAAGTAATATTTCATACGCGAGTCGTAAAGAAAGTAATTGGTATATTTACTTATCAAATATTAGTACCAATACCCTAAGCAAACAACACCAGCAAATAAAAGCAAGGATCTCGGACCCGTGAGTAAGGCTTTTGGGTTTTTTCTCCCCCAATACCACGTTGAACGAGCCCGAGGTCACACTTGCTTTTGAATGGGCCCCCATACACCAAACGCTAGATACGACGATGCTTATGCTGTACTATGCCAACGATTCGTTCCCTTTTTTACATTTCTTTTGTTTGAGATATCCTTGAGTTCGTTTTAATGAGATCTACATTGAGGAAAATAATGGTTTGTTTTTGGAAAAGAATGTTTTTACCAGATGTTGTATGAAATTTGTTCTTTGTGATTTTTTTCTTAGTTAACTTTCAAGAGATAGGCTATGCATTGTCAGGTTTGTATTTATTTCTCACAAAAACAAGCAAGAAAACATATATATCAAAAAACAAAATTAAAAAACCTCCTTAAAAGAACTTGGAAAATGTATCTCGTAGAACCCTTTGTTTACAAAAATAGAAACAGCTTTTTCTATTTGTAGACCTTAGGGGAACGAACTGGAGAATATATATCTGGAAAAAACGAACAGGGGAAAAATATACTTCGTGAAAGCGAAGTTGAAAAAAATATACTTTCGAAGGTAACACTACCAACAAATGTGCATTTGTTTAGTGGATCCATCGCGGGAAAAGCTTGAACTTCAAGGCAGAGCAACCTGGATGATTATCAGAGAGTCTGTTAATCATATCAGCACAGATTAAGGACTATAAATCTCTTATCACCTTCAGACAGAAATTGTTTTAAACTTGAGTTTTGTGGTTGAACTATTGATGTTCAGCAAACATAATTTTATGCCCTGGGGGCTTTGTGTGAAAGATGTGAGACATTATTTTGTAAATAATTATATTTTACTATTGTTTGTGTTGGTATCTAAGGCATGTTTTCCTTAGGAGGCTGTTATTTTGTAAGTTGAGGGGCATTTTGTTCTCATATTTCCGATTTCCTTTCTTTTTTTTATCTATATCCATCTTACTGTTTGTTAGAGTTTGTCTCTTACTATTTTTAGTTGTTTTATTGGTATCCTTTTTGCCTGTTTCAATGATTATCTACTTTATATGTTTCAGCCGTTACAAAGTTTATTTGGGGTTGAATAATTATTATATGCTTATGTTTGAACTGATCTTTATATCTCTTTGTATAGTTTATATTTCACGTACTTGCCCGTCTTTGTCGATTTCTTTGTTTCTGTTTTTTCGTCTGTTATATTCAGTCCATTTGTTTGTTTTTATTTTTCCCGCGTCGTCCATTTTCTAGTTTCGTTGATAGTTTTCAAATGTGTCATTTTGTACTTTTGGCAGTTTTATGTCTCTCGTTTTATTTTGTTTGGCTGCGCTTTGTGTCTTTATATTTCAATTGTACTTTTCATTAATTCAGTTTTATTTCACACACTGAATAGACAAAAAATTGAATTATAGACGTCAGCGATGAAATAAGGAAATCCTGATTTAAAATAAGGAAGGAGATCGAGTTTATATTAAGAGAAAGAGTGCAGGGCACATTCAAAAAGCCGAAGCTTGTGTCGTAAATGTCCTTAATGACTTGGAGATGAAACAAGAAATTAAGGACAACAAAGTCGACTAACATCGAAAAAGTTTCTTAATTAAATTAAATATAAGTGGTGTTTTCAAAATAAGCAATTGGAACAGCATGTGAACGTCTAATAAATCCGGAAAAAGATGAGTGAAGCGAAGAATTAACCCGCATGAAAAAATAAACACAAACAATTAAAGTGTCCGTTTTGTAGTCAAGAAAAACAAACTCTGCTAGGTTTTGAAAAAATTTTTACAAACGGACTTAAATTTATCCACGGACGACTGAGCTTTCACCTCTTTATCGACACTGTTCCAAAGACGGGGCTCTAAAAACCACACGTGTTAATAGAATATTGAGGTGCAAATGAATTGTATAATTGCTTAATCTTGAGCAGTGCCAGTGAGTGTCTTATGCAGTACTGAAAGTTTAGAAAACATCTTAGGAAGGAGCTCATGGGTATATTTGTGCGTAAAAATTTCTGTATACATGTAGTTTGTTAATGTCTGGCTGCGTTAAAATGTTTAATCTAGGCAAAAGTGTTGCTGTGTGCTAACGAAGATGGAAAAAAGTACTTTGGATAGTTGTTATTGAATAAAGTTGTTTTGAGTTTTTAGTATGTCCCTAGAGAGTGTTACAGTAGGTGAGATAAGGCAAAATAAGAGTATTATACTGTGAAAGCAAAGTGGGCTGTGGAATAAAAGCCCCAAGTTTAATTAGAACGCCTACGTTGCGTGAGACTTAGGCGTGATTAATTTTATTAATCCTGGGGATACGCTTAATCCAGGAGAGTATGTCATTTATTGTAACACCTAAAAATTGGTGAAATGGACCCTTGAAATAGCGATGTTATCAGTTGCAATTACATCGAGATCCTCAGACTTAATGGACCCGATGAAGGGTGTAAAAGTCATCTTGGCATGATTCACAGAAAGTCGGTCAGCTTTGAACCGCGACGATACTTTGGAAAGTTCTGTATTCACTGAGATAACAAGGGTATAGGAGTTCTAGTGCGAATAGGTGATGGTTTTATCAGTGACAAAAAGTAAGATGTAGAAGTGTAGAAAAGAAATGCAAAACATTAAGATTGAGGAAGAGGTTTTCTTATTTTCCTTTTTGTTTATAATTTTTATGTTTTATGTTAGTCCGTTCTTTTTATCCCTTTCAAAAAAAAGATCATTCTTGTTAATTGTAATACCGTGTTTTTGATGTACATACACTTCTGGTTTGTCGTGTATTTGGTCTCATATTATAATCATTTAAAAACAATATGTTTTCATTGGTCTGGCTATACACATCTTTAGCTGAGAATTTTTATCTTTTGTATTTCCAGACAGCCCCTGAAGAACTTTTTTTTGTTTTATGTCCCTCTGTTTTCTGTTGACAGGATAAAACGGCCAAAGAGTGTGATGACATTCAGCAAAAAATGTTCCAGTTGTTGGTGCAACATCCGAGTGTCGACATGACCCTGAAAAATAGCAAAGATCTCAACTGCTTGCATTTTGCTGCAGGCTCAGGAAATACGTTGTACGTGTTAAATGTGTGTGATTCCTACCTCGTGTAGAAATTTGCAGTACATATCGGAAATTTGAGTATCAAGTTGGATGCAAACGCAATATAGGGATATTTGGAAATGTCCAAATTACCCAGCGTTTCATTACAAAAGTATTCTAAAGAGGCTTGGCGTTTAGCTAAATTTACATTGTAGGTCCACTTTATGTTTGTCGGAATACTGTTCCTGTCTATTAGGCTAGTATGCTTCAAAACTCATTGAAGCAAATCTATTTTTTTCATCTAGTGCGACCGATCAGATTCTAGAGGTCAAGCCCTCCTTAATAAACACAACCCAAAATGATGGCTGTACAGCACTTCACCTTGCTGTCCTCGAGGGTCATGCTCATATTGTATCAACCCTTGTGAAGCAGGTAAAGACAATGAAACTCTCTAGAGATAGAGGTTATTAAAGCGGATGCTACCATTAGTTACTGATACGAAAAAGTAAAAAAAAAGCAGCGTCCATGAAGACACGGGCTGTATAGTTCGGCGAACCTGTCGAAGCTTGTTTCCTTCAATGTATATTCATTCATTGCTGACCTATAAATCAATTTATTAAGAATGGAGAAGTTCCTTTTTAACAGGCTGACAAATGTTAGTGTATAGACATTTAATAAGAAAGTCCGTGACCTTATTGTTAAATGACTGGAGACCAAATGGAAATTTTGAGTCTTAATGTTGCTTCTGTTGATAGAAAAATTGTTCGAAGGACCTTAAAAATGCCAAAGGATACACAGCACTGCACCTTGCTATTGTTAAGAAGCATTATGACTGTGCCAAGGCTCTGGAAGACAACGGTGCATTACGAATAGAGAAGTTCCTCTTTAACAGGCTGACAAATGTTAGTGAATGTACATTATTTAAGAAGATCCAAGACCTTATTACTTATAAACGACTGGAGACCAGAAAGAAACTTCCTCAAATGGAAATTCTGAGTCAAAATGTTGCTTCTGTTGATAGAAAAATTGCTCAAAGGACGTTAAAAATACCAAAGGACACACGGCACTGCATCTTGCTATTATCGAGAAGCATTACGAGTGTGCTAAGGCTCTGGTAGACAACGGTGCCGACGTGAACGCCCAGGACGACAATGGCAACACCTGTCTTCACCTGGCTATGATGAAAGTTCTCACATCCATTGAAGCAATGCTTGATGCTGCATTGAAAGACAAAGTGAGTGTACTTTTTGTATTTTTTTGTTTTAATCCAAACAAATCTGCATTGGAAAACCTACTATTGTTTAGTTGGCCCCCTACCCTTAAGTTGTTAAATAACGCTCAAATAGCTGGGTTACGTTGTCCAATCTGATAGCCGAGGGGAAGCGAATTCCGCCCCAAAAGACTCGGCTGTGCCACGTCACACAAAAGAACTATTCCAACTGGTTACCTGTCCACTCGGGGGTACTGCAAGGATCTGTACTGGGCGCTCTATTGCTTTTGCTGTATGTCGAGGACTCTTTTTTCACCCGTCCCCGTTCTTGAGTCATGTGCAGAGTGGCGTATCCGGGGGGGGGGGGCAACTTGCACCGCGATGGATTTTTAAACAAACACTACTTCATATGCGAGTGGCAAAGAAACCAACAGGTATATTTATTTATGAAATATCAGTACCCAAACCCTAAGGACACAACGCCAGCAAATATAAGCAAGGATCTCGGGACCGTGAGTAGGGCTTTTGAGTTTTCCCTCAAAAATGCATTTGAACGAGCCCTAGGTCGCATTTGCTTTTGAATATGCTCCGCCACACACCAGCGTGATTTAGCCTGCAACTGGGACCCCATTTTGTTCCTCTTTTGTTTGTACTTCAAGGTTTTAGAAGACCACCCAGATGTTTTGTCAATCGGGGACTCTCTGTGAATCGGGGAACTCATTGTCCTCTATTGTTCAGGATCCCCAACTGAATGCACAATCAAACTCATGGGTTGCAGTTTGTCAAAACAATCTTTTCCGATACTGGTCTAGTCGGCTGCATCAAAACGTAACCGCCTTAATTCTATATTTTCAAAGAGTGAAGTATATTTTTTCGAAGTCCGTTTTTCGGAGAGGAATTTTTCTAGCTTCGTTTGTAAGACATAGGCCCTACGTTTTTCAGAGTTGCTTTGCTTGAGACATACACCCTTCAGTTCTTTCTTATGAGAGATATTACTGGGGAACATTGTTTCTGTTTGGGGAACAAATCGTTTTTACGAGATTTTTTTTATGAAGTTTTTTCATGAGATATATTTATAAAGTTAATTTTCAAGAGATACATATCGTCGTGTGGATTTATCTCTCACAAATCAAACTTTAAAATGTTACTTATAAAAACGAACTAAAATGTTTTAATGACACGTATTTTCAGTTTTGTCGCATAATTGGTCTTTTATTTGTATTCAATATTCTGTTTTAATATTTATCTTTCATTGATTAATCTTTTTCAGGCGACTGGTTATACATTTTTAGTCTAGAGTTTTTATCTTTTGGAGTATTTCCTAGGCACAGTCCCTGAAGAACTTTTTTGTTTTATATCCCTCTGTTGTCTGTTGACAGGATAAAACCGCCATACTGTGTGATGACATTCAACAAGAAATGTTCCAGTTGTTGGTGCAACATCAAAGTGTCGACATGACCCTGAAAAACAACAAAGATCTCAACTGCTTGCATTTCGCTGCAGGCTCAGGAAATACGTTGTACGTGTTAAATGTGTGTGATTCCTCCCTCGTGTAGAAATTTGCAATACATATCGGAAATTTGAGTATCAAGTTGGATGTAAACACAATGCATGGATATTTGGAAATGTCCAAAGAGCTCAGCGTTTCATTAAAAAAGTCTGTAAAAAAAGGCTTGGCATTCAATTTATGGTTCAAATTACGTCTCTGTTCCTGTTTACTAGAGTACTATGCTTGAACATTCATTAAAGCAAATATAATTTTATTCATCTAGTGCGACGGATAAGATTGTTGAGGCCAAGCCCTCCTTAATAAACACAACCCAAAATGATGGCTGTACAGCACTTCACCTTGCTGTCCTCGAGGGTCACGCTCATATTGTATCGACCCTTGTGAAGCAGGTAAAGACAATCAAACTCTCTACAGAAACAAGTTAAAGTGCATGCTACCATTAGTTACTGATAAGTTTAACAAAGCTTGTTTCCCTATAATTTGTATTCATTAATTGCTGACCCATAAATCAATGTATTACGAATAGAGAAGTTCCTCATTAACAGGCTGACAAATGTTAGTGTATGTACATTTTCTAAGAAGGTCCAAGACCTAATTACTTTTAAACGACTGGAGACCAGAAAGGAACTTCCTCAAATGGAAATTCTGAGTCAAAATGTTGCTTCTGTTGATAGAAAAATTGCTCAAAGGACGTTAAAAATACCAAAGGACACACGGCACTGCATCTTGCTATTATCAAGAAGCATTACGAGTGTGCTAAGGTTCTGGTAGACAACGGTGCCGACGTGAACGCCCAGGACGACGAGGGCAACACCTGTCTTCACCTGGTTATGATGAAAGTTCTCACATCCATTGAAGCAATGCTTGATGCTGCGTTGAAAGACAAAGTGAGTGTACTTTTTGATCTTTTTGTTTTAATTCAAAACAAATCTGCATTGGAAAACTTACCATTGTTTAGTTGGTTCTTCGCGATAGGTTATTAATTAGCCCTAAAAAGCTTGGTTAGTTAGCTCCGTCTCATAGCCGGGGGAAGCGAATTTTTCCCCCAAGAAACTCGGCTGCGCCATGTGTCATTGTTTTAAAACTTAGCACACATATTAAGACACTCATTATCGTTTGTCAATCAAAGATACGATATGTTGCTACGGTCAAGTTCAAAGCTACACGTGTGGCACTCAACGTGCATTGAGCATCAAAGGGAGAAAATTATGCAATTTGGCTGACCTTTCTTGGAAAAATATGCACAGCCCAAGAACGGTATGATTTGTGGCGTTTTTCCAAATGGGAAGAATTTTTGATACTGACGGCTGCTATACCTAAGGACTTTCTCCATTCTATGAAATCATTTGTTATGAAAATCAGACTTGCCCACTGGTAGAATATTAGCGACCCAGGAGTGAAATAATGGCAAATAAAAATAGGAGGGGTCAAAATTTGGTTTGGGGAGTTGAAATTTGTTACGTGTACCTGTTTTTGAGGTATTACAACATATCGGACGGTAGAAGCTATTCATTTTGGGTTTTTTCATAGTTTTTGGAAGAGAAAGAATATAGATCCTCAGATTGCAATTCTCTCATTTTTAAAAGGAAAATCTTATTTTTGCTGGTATGTTTGGCTTGGGATGCATGGTCCCCGCCCTCTACTTGATTCCGGCCTTGTAAAGGTTTGTCACCACGAGTCTCCTTTAGTTGGTTATTGGAAATTATGCCAGTGACCAAAGGTAAACAATAACACATAAATCGATAAATTCCTTGAGGTTGTTCATATAAGTTACTCAGGTTCGTGTATATTGTCTGCGGTATTTTCCGCTGATTGGAGCATCAAGTGGGCAACAGAGCTGGCCAAGGCTGCCTTTGTGCCAGTCGACGTCATATATGATACCAGTAACAGTCCTCTGAGCCTTTCCTGCTGGGATTTTCTACAGTGGCTTTAGAAGGTTCCAAGCCTTTCTTGCATTCGTTCCAACAAGGTGTTAAAAACCAAGTCCAACGATGCTAATTTTTCCCATATTGAATCCGATTCCAAGTCTAATAAAAGTGGCACATCTCAATATCTCCCTTGCGATACGGGTTTTTGTACCCGTTTTTCTGCGAGTCCCTTCCATTATTGTCAAAATGGACGTGCCGTCACGACTCACTAGCATGTAATGGATATTGATTTGTTTGACATAATTATTACCGTGGAGAGGAAATACCACAGTGCATGCGCTTTATAGGCGAACTTGAAGAATGTTCTCAAGTTTAGGAAACTGGTTTTTGTCACTTCTTGAGACCAAAAAACCCGGACACCGAGCTTTTTTTTCAAAATGTTGTTCACGATAAATAAATAACAAAGGAAACAGTTGGCTGTAATCTTGTGCAAACATGTTTCCTTGCATCGAAAGTTCCTAAATGGCCGCAAAAACTCCAGGCTGGACAACATCGATTCTCAAGTGTTTTGTCATTTTATGAGATCATCGATGAATTAAAATAACTGTTGGAGATATTTCGTCTGTTGACAGGACGAAACAGCCAAACTGTGGGATGACTTTCAGCAAGAAGCTTTCCAGTTGTTGGTGCAACATCCAAGTGTCGACATGACCCTGAAGAACAACAAAGATCTCAACTGCTTGCATCTTGCTGCAGGCTCAGGAAATAAATTGTACGTGCTAAATGTGTCTCTGATTCCTCCATGTACAAAATGTTTGATACATATCGGCAAATTGAATCTCAAGTGAGATACAAATAGGGATATGGATATCTTGAAACGCTCCAAATAGCTTAGTGCTGGGCATTTAGGAGAATTTTTAATGCATGTGCAATTTAGGTTTGTCCGAATAGAGTTCCAAGGCTACCATGCTTCAAAATTCATTGAAGCAAAAACAAATAAATAAAATTGCAAAAGAGCATTCTTATTTATGGGACACGAGTTGTTATTGTCGAAGAGGGCAAAATCATTCAAAAGCTATTTGGCACGACATAGCTTTGATCTAGGCGTTGAGCGATGATTTTGACAACCCTGGCCGTCTGGCCTGCTTTACGTGCGTGGCGGAAACTACCCGATCCGACTACCCCCTGCTACTTATGGGTGTTTTTCTTTTTTCCCTCGAGCCACCAAATACGCGGACAAGATTTTTGTGGAGGTGATGGTTAGTGTGTGACGTGTGCATTAGTGCGTGAGGTGTGATTTGGGGTCAGTTGTGTGGGGTTGAGGGGGTCCGGTAGACATAGGACTAAAAAGTTGATCCAAAACTCTTCGCCTACTACTAGCGAAAAATGGATGGTATTAGTCATAGTGTGTGACGGAATTGTTACATAACGTCACACCAGCAAAGGAACGCTACAATTTGTCGAAGTTGTCGATTCCCAGTTTTTCTGAAGAAGTGTTGAGGGCTCCAATAAATTCTTCAGGACTGTTGTTGTTATGATTTGACAATATATTAGTCGGTTCATACACGACAGATTGTAGAAAATGTCGTTCCTCGATCGAACCTACATGTGTGTACTCATACCATGTGTACACACGTACATGTGCTAGACAGTACTGCAAGCTGTGGCCAGCTGGTAACCTTAAACCGCGTAGCCGTGCGTGCCTGCTTGATCGTGATCATGCGTCGGGATGATTATTCAATACCGCGTCACATGTGTAATGAATGAGGCTCACGATTGGTCCCAACGCACAGGAAGCACGATTTATGCGATTGGTTCTAGAACAGCTTTGAATTGTTCATGACGGCATAACGGCATGTCGTTGAATTTTTTCGTCCAAAAGTAAAAAAAAAAAGAAAAACGTAAATATTAAACCCGGAACATACAGACGCTACAAGACGGATTTTCGACTCGGCATCATGATTCCGGCAGCTGACGCACGTACGTGCGTGGGGTTTTATACCATGTACATGTATACGCACACGTGTTTGTAGTGGTTCGGTGTGTATTTGGCAGAGGCAGCTCTACATATAGCCGGTTCAGTGATTCCCTTGTGTGTTGCTTAGATATTTTTTTGCGAGCTGCGTCAGTTGTTATACCTTACAGGATGTCGTTTTCCCTCAAGCGACCCTACTTACCAACCCTATTTATATGCCATGAACACAAAACTATTATTATATAGGACAATCGTACACGAAAAAGATTAGCATTTATTAAGTGCATTATGGTTAAAGGATGTCAGGTTATTATTCAAACGAAGGTTATTATTCAAACCACACCACCCCACACCCCACCCCACCCCACACCCCACACCCCACCCCAAACCAAACCAAACCAAACCAAACCAAACCAAACCAAACAAAACCAAACAAAACACTGCAATTTCGTCAATTACCAGTTTGTGACTGGGAAACTCATAAATGTATCTATTTCTTATCCATTTAGTGCGACCGATAAGATTCTAGAGTTCAAGCCCTCCTTAATAAACACAACCCAAAATGATGGCTGTACAGCACTTCACCTTGCTGTCCTCGAGGGTCACGCTCATATTGTATCAACCCTTGCGAAGCAGGTAAAGACAATCAAACTCTCTAGAGATACCAAAGTTCAAGTGGATGTTACCATCAGTTAATAAGATATGTGAAGTCAAAAAGCAGCATCCAAGAAGACACTTACTGCGTACGTCGACAAAACTCTCGAAGCTTGTTTCCAGTTTGAGCTGTGTTATCATTTAATTCTGATGTTAATCATCTTGTTAAAGGAGGACACGATTAAGTTTCTTTTTCATCATGCTAACAAATGTAAGTCAACGCCTTTAAAACTGACCGCAACCTTTCAACAAAAGACCAGAAGAAACTTCCTCAAGTGACACTTAAAGTTTTTCTCCTGTTGCTAGGAACACTGCCTGAAGGATTTAAAAAATGCCAAGGGACACACGGCGCTGCATCTTGCTGTTATTAAGAGGCATTACGAGTGTGCCAAGGCTCTGGTAGACAACGGTGTCGACGTGAACTCCACTGATGACGATGGCAATACCTGTCTCCACTTAGTAATGAGGAAAGTCCTCACATCAATTGAAGAAATGCTTGATGCTACAAATAAAGACAAGGTTCGTATACTTTTTGAAAAAACTTTTACTTGACAAAACCTTGCTAGATCTTCACTGAAATAAATCTTCAATTTTCAAATGAGGCTCGACGCCAAAGATGATTAGATTATATTTTGCCGAAGTCGTCAAGACACACCCCAAATAGCTATACTTAGCAGTTCAAGACTTCTTCAAGTACTATCAGTCTCAAAGGAATTCAACTTTGACCAAATCTGCGCCAACATCTACTGTCAGAAAACCCACCCGCAGCTGGCCAGTGGCTCCTGACAGCGGAACTCAGGACAATTGGTTATATTCTGCGCTAGGAAATATTAAAAAAGCCTCTTTCAAGGAAGCCACAGTCCACTGTGTCACACCCTTCCCCATTTAACAGAAACCCATTATCCGTTACTCTACCGACACTAGTATCTAAAACAAACATATATGCATCCACCTTAAAAGGGTTACAGAAATAACAGGTGGAAAGGCTTGCGGTTGCACCATGCGAAGGAAAATATCTCTCTTATGAATATGTGTGGCTCTGACAAGAACCGGGAGTATACTCAACGTTTCGTAATGCCGCCTCTCCCGCAAGGTGTACTGCAAACCCACTCACACTGACAGATACCTCAACAGCTCCTCCTTCAATCACCCTAAAATCAAGTCGTCTGTCTACCCAGCCCTTGTTCGCAGGGCGCACAGCATCTGCGACAAGAACACCTCACCGAAGAACTGCACCATATCTCCACAGCACTTCAACGAAACGGCTACAAGTCCCAGTAGATCAAGACCCAAGACCAAGATTCCCTCCGAACCGAAGGGTCTCCTATACTCAAAGCCAATTAGATAAGGCCCCTAGTTCTGTTACTCTCCCCTACCTAGGTTGTACTTCCCACTACATTCAGCGTATCCTGAGCTAGCATGGCATCAAGGTGTTCCACACAGCCCCTCTCAAGATCCGCAGCATGCTGACATTCCACAAGGACCGACAAGATCTGCACCACCGACAAGGGGTGTGCAAGATCCCTTGCCAATGTGGCAAAGTGTATACTGGCGGGACTGCTAGGGACCTCCCCACCAGACTCAAAGAACACTAACCCACGGTAGGAAGGGAGACCAGGAGAAGTCGGCGATAGTCAAGAGTTGCGGCCCCCTCCGAAGACCACCGCATCTACTGGGACCAAGCCCACCTCATCACTAGCATCGAGAACTGGTACCCAAGACGCACCAGAGAAGCCTTGGAGATCCTCAAGCACCACACTGTTCCCCAAGATATAGGCTTTTCCATCAGTGACATCTGGCAACCCCTGCTCACCTCCCAGTCTAATTGGTCCTCTATACCCTAGGACCCCCCCGCCCATGGGTCTCCTATACCCCCAGCCACCTCACTCCGCCCCAATCTTTTCCCTACTGACACGTCTCACTGACCTGCGGGACCCCGTCCCACATGAGCGCCCAATTATGTAACCACGACAAGCATCCTCGTCACATCCCAATGCACCCAGTCACCTTTTGTATACAGCTCCATCTTCAGCATCTCTTCAGTCTCCTGACGACAGACTGAGCACGCAGTCCGAAACGTTGAGTATACTTCTGTTTTTTTTTTCAGAACCACACATACTCATAAGAGAAACATTTCCTTCGCATGGTGCTACCGCAAGCCTTTCCACCTGATGCTCTCTTTTACCATGAAAAGCCTGAAATTCCATCGTTACAGAAATAGGAAGCATTTAGTTCGTGTGAAGTATTTCAAAATAACAATAAACACGTAACCATTTCAAAAACATTATAAATTCAACGTTTATCCCATTAATTGTGACCGTAAAATTAATAAAAAGATCCTGCGTTTTCCCGCCCACAAAAACATCTCCTTTTGGCTGTTCGCGCTACCAAGCTGATTGGATGACATCATCTCCAAACTATGCATGTACAGTGTACATGTATATTAGTGCACAGTACATGCAGTATAGCACGCATTAGACCACGTTGTGTTTGACGCAACTTGGCCAACAGGGCAAACACTGTTTCAGTTCAAGAAATATACGGTAGGATTGTGTGTTTTAATTTCTACCTTGAACTGGGATAAGATTTGCTACATCAAACACAATGTGGTCTTTTGCGCTATGTGCATGGACAGTGTACCTACATCGTTTGGGATGGCATCATCCGGTCAGATTGGGAGCGCAAACGGCCAAAAGGAAATTTTTGTGGTCGGGGAAACGCATAGATAAATAAGGGTTTGCCACTATTTTGGCAAAATTGCCCTCTTAACAAATTGTAAGGATACATGTACCTACACACCACTTTTTCCCTGATCTAATAAAAGAGCAGATATTTGATTGCCCACTATATTTACAAAGAACCAATCAAAATTACACAATTATCAATTAAACGTGACTAAGAAGTAATGAATGAAACGTTATAGAAAACGTGCACCTTACAATTAGCAATGTAAAAGAATTACATAACGCCTTTTCAAGACAAGTCGGGAGTACATGGGTATACATGTACAACTGCCACCCAGTGAACACAATAACTCCGAGTCGAGTTTACAAGAGAATAATAACGATAAGCTCAAACTTACGGTCAGCTGGCCGACATAGTAGATATTTCTCCCAAAGCACTGCCGGTTCAAGATCCGATCATCGGCGTGTATTAATTTCAAGCAAGCTTACGAAAACACAATTTGCAATGCTTTGGATGGTGATTGGTGTTAGAGTGGTGTATGCTATTTCAACCCGACCCGACCCAACCGGACCGGACCAGATCATCAAAACCCGCAAGTAGTATTGCCTGACTTTCAGCACGTAATCTTCATGGCGCTCATTACCAAAGTGCACGTGGGCAAGATCTGCGCTTGACAAAGGCGTAGCAACAGATTTTGTCTGATTTTGCACGCCCTGATTGCAAAGTGAGGCGTCACCTTTCTTAATGGATTTCCAGGAAACAGAGCATATGTAATGAAATTTTTTCAGGACAAATCCAAATTGCAATAATCGTTTTATTTTTCAATAGCATTAGCTTTGTGCCCTGCGTCAAAATTATGAAAGATGAAGTTTTAAATAACCCCCAAATAATTTTGTTTTTCACCTAATAAAATTGTGTGTTGCCAAATTTGATCAATATCTATCAAAAATGAGTTTTCTTGGTTCCAAAAATTAGATTCATATAAATAAATAGAAGACTCTCTTAATTGATTGCACTCAAAAACTGGGAATCCGCCAGATAACTGTTTTGTAAAATAAGTTTGAATTTGAATTAAATTTTGGCGCCAAATCGTGTGAATCCAGACATTTTGTAATGGAAAAATACGTCACATTTCTCATCTAAAAAACTTTATGTCCTCATAAAACTGAATTCGTAGAGTCAGGATTTATTGCTTTGTCAAACTTTTGACAAAAAAGGGGACACCCTTGCACCATACTCTTGTAAGAGCAGACTTTTGAGTAGCATTCTTGTAGCGGCGAGTCACGGATCCAGTGCAGTCATGCATGCGTGTTTGCATGTGTATGCGTGACATGCACAGGTTCATGCACACGTGCTGGGGCGGACACGACGACTTCGACGTCTCGGATAATAGCAGCGGAAGAGATGAACAGATATTGTCACTAATTTAACGATTCTACCCTATGAAACGGTTTCAGTACGAAAGAAACGGTACAATCTAACAGAAAACCATCCTCGTGTTGGATTAATAATGAATACAAAATGGCTTTGAATCTTCGTCCACCACGAGCTCGATACGATTTGGAAGTGATTCAAAATGAACTGATTATTAGCAATTTTATACGACATATTCAAAATAAATGCCTAGAATCAACGCAATAAGGGTGAATCTTTAAATTGGTGCCAGAGTTTGGTCTCAGCTCAGAAAACTCATTTTTATTAAAAACTAATCAATCAGTGCAAAATTTTGCAATTTCGACTTTTTTCGTTGTTGGAAAGGGTCCGTAAAATCCACGTTTTATACTGTTCTGAGATTTAAAAATCTTCCTATGGAATAAAATTGTGTGTTGTTCATGGTGCCATGTTTAGATCCTCCCGAAATTTATTTATACTTCTACACTTTGGTATTTTACGAGGTCAGTATGCCTTTGAAAACTTCTGCACTATAACGTCGCTGCCTGCACGAAAAACCGTTGTTTTCTTTTTGAAAATGCCATGAGTGCTTGTAATGAACGTCTCTATGGGGCTTGAACACACGTGTGAGCTACATAAAACAACCTGTTACAACTGATAATGTAGTGACCAACGTATAATGTATCACCAATCGATATTATATAACAAATTGACCGATTGTGTATCGCAAACCGAAAATATATCACAAATTTGACCGATGGTGTTGCAAACTTTCAAACCTATAATGTATCACGTGTCGACGGATAATGTAGTAGCAAAAATACTCTAGCCGATAATGTATCACCATAGAACAGATGATGTATCAACCGATAATGTATCAAATTATTAATCGATAATGAATCAGTGCCCATCATGTTCTTGGTAATACTGTTTACCGCAAATGGTTCACTTGGGAGACATTCCCACAGGAATGTGCAGACAATTTTTCAAACTTTACCGTCCCATAATTCAATATTCCCTGATCCGATCTTAACCAAACTTTGCATGTTTTCCTTATCTATAATCTCTCACTAAATTTGGACGATAAAAATTTTCCTGCTTCTCGTAGTTGGGTCACTTGAAATGTCAAAATGTCTCCCTAATGCCCGTTGTCTCCCCAATGTTGGAAAAAATCACCATGAAATGTCTCCAAAGCGACCTATTTGGAAATATACCGCAAATGACTTGGCAAGGTTTCATAATCATGATGTCATTAGACTGACAGTTGCTGTGGGGCAAGTTTTTAAATACTTGTTTCGATCGAGTTGTATGGCCACCTGTTCTAGGGAAATCTGTTATTCCTTCCTCCATGTTTGAACCCTGTCCCATTACTGTGTTCGAAACCTAAAAAGTGATAGCCGGTACCATATTCAGCTTACAAGTGCTGTGACGTCATCAATCCGAAAGTTACGCGTTAATCATATTCCGCCGTACTGAACTTTATCGTTCCACAGGATGCGTCTAGGTTGCACTCGCCTTTTCTCTGACATCGTAATATTTGAAAATGAACTTGTCCGAACACATACACAATTGCCTTCAACGGCGCACCCAGGATTGGCAGCAAATTTCATGAACGAATGGCGGCAAAGCCAGATTCGTGAACCTTTTATGGTTTTGTTTGTTTTTTCTACAACGGTGCCATATAATAATTATTTACACCAGATTACTTTAATGATTTAATTCAGGCCTTTTAAATTCCCTACACACAGCCAAGTTGAAAAAAATAATTGGTTGTTGGATTCTGTAGTTAGATTTAGTCAAGGCGGATCAAGAACCCCCCGCATTTGTTTTTTTTTTTTTTGGGGGGGGGGGCCAAAGGTTAAATTTTTCCCCAAATGGGTCCAAAATTTGTACTGTGAGGTCTTTGGGCACCGTGGGGTTTGGGGTCCCAAAAATAGATTCTGGAAAAGGTGAATCAAAATGAGGCCTTTTCCCCTTTCCTTCCCTTTCCTTATCTCCTTTTCAGTTTTTCTTGTTTTGGCCTTTCCTTCCCTTTTCTGCACTTAATTTCTTTTCTCTTTTCTTCTATGTCAATCGTTTTACCTCCCTTCTAATTCCGTGAAGACAATTTCCACTTTTTGCTTGACCAAAATCCCAACCCTGATGCTTGAAACACGTGAAAAAATCCCGATATCAGGCCCAGGGCAATGCCGGGGTGGGATCATGTATGGGGGAATAGGAACATTACAAAATGAAAACTTACAGTAACAAAGGAAATCTAATTTGAATTACAATCATCATGTAGTCCAGTTTGACATATAGAAGTCAATTTCATATTCGTACATATAATAATTGACCGAAGTGGCCAACATAATTATGTAACTTGGACAACAATATTGCATAATACCCCAACACTCATTCTGCCCACCGAGTATTCGACCTAACCTCGTTCCAAAAATAGCACCCTCTATCAATCAAGCCTTGATTCTACTCTGTAAAAGTCACCCCCACCACAAGACAAAATTTTGGATGCGCCAAGATTTTGGTTTTATGACGTAACAACACTTGGAATCAAAAGCTGACATTGCATCGGCCATCACGTTTTGGCTACGGACATAAAATGGGACAAGGTTCAAACATGGAGGAAGAAATAACTGATTACCAAGAACATAATGGGCACTGATACATTATCGGTT